AAAACTGTAAACTTCAAATTCCGTGTGAGAAAGATAGGGTACTTAAAGGTTGATTTCGTATAATCTACCAAATGAGCACAGTACCAAACTGCGAACTTTGACGTGACCGTACGCGCGGTTGAAGCGTGTGCAGTGAGAATTTATGGGAATTCTTGGCCTTGAAAAATTGAATATTACATCTGATTTTAGGCAAATGTAAAAACAAATAAGAAAATCTCCGTTTTTATTTAAATATGGTTGTGCTCTCAGTGACTTCTTCGCTGTTTTCTTACTTTTCAGCTGTTTTATTTTTGAATGCTTTAAAAAAAAAAGAACAAAATTTTAGGGTCTTGGAACACCAAATGAAAATATTTGGCCCGGTTATAGCAGTTTGCCTGTTGTAAGGAAGATGAAATTTGAACATTATGAACCGGGTGAATTGGAGAAAAAGTTCCCACCAAGTTTGATTGATGAAAGTGGATTGCAGTTCATCAAGCAGTATGTCATTTTCTCTTATTTGTTATATAAATAGTTTGGGTTGTAAGATTTATGCATATTTAAAAAAAAAAAACCCCTGAAATTTCTTTCATTTATATTTCGGTGCAGTTTTTTTGATTTAATATTCTTGTTTTTGTAAAGCATTCATTTCTGGTGGAAAATTTTGCATGAATTTTTCATGAATCATTGGTTAAATCTAGATTTTTACTTCTTTTTTTTTTCGTTACAGGATGCTTACATATGATCCAAATAAAAGAATTACTGCACGAAATGCTTTGCATCATGAGTGGTTTGATCGATATCCACCACCGGTACCACCAGAATTGTTCCCAACATGGCCAGCAAAAAGTGAAATGGGCAGACCAGTTGTGAAAGGGCCAGTGGTTAAACCACCTTCTGTGAACGATGTGAGTCTTCTTTTTTTCCCGTTTCGCTGTTGAGCCATTGATATGGGTGGGAAAATACCGTATTTGGTGATTACATACTGTTATGTACAGTAATCAGTAGAAGTAATTATAGTACAGTATGCCACTCTCGTTCACTACAGTATTTACAGTAGCCTTTTGAAAGCAGCTGCAGCACGGTATAAATTGCGTTGAGACTTGTTGACTACGGTATAAATTACAGTAGCTCCAGAATATTGCTTGAGGCTGAATAAATGTTTCAATGTCTGAAAATTCATCAGAAGTTGGTGTTTGCACTACCGCTTGACGACACTCATGAATTGGCAATCGGTTAAAGTCTGGCATACGGTAGCTTGTGCAGCATGTCTACGGTAACGGAGGCTTGCATACTGCAGCCCGAGTAGCACGGTTACAGTAATCGTGGGATGGGCATACTGTAGCGCCAGTAGTTTCAAGATTGTCTCGTTGTCCGCCTTTTCAGATGAATGAACGATGTTACATATTTGATTAAAGTTTAAAACCGTTGCCTGAACAGCACAGCTACAGTAATCGTAGGAATCGGTATACTGTAGCGCCAGTTCGTTGTCGGCCTTTTCAGACGAATGAACGATGTTATGTAGTTGATTACAGTTTAAGATACTGTGGCCCGAATGGCACAGTTACAGTAATCGTAGGAGTCGGCATACTGTAGCGCTAGTAGTTTCAGGACTGTTTCATTGTCTGTCTCTTCAGGCGAATGAATCTGTTT